CTGGCTTTAGCTACTCTTGAAAAAAAATCTCCAACCCCAATTTCCTCATCTTGAATAAAGTGTTTAAATAAAATGATGCAAAATTTTTTCAGATCTGAAACTTTATGAAAATGGCTAAAAAGTTTTTGAATGATAGTTACAGAATTCTTGAGGAGAAAAGTTAGTTGGTCTTAATTGGGTCAAGGGTCAAAGGTGAATGGAAGGGCAGTGTTTGGGTGGGTGCTCCAGGGTGGGGTGGGACGGGCTGCAGACATAGCCCGGGGCAGAAGGTTGCTCACCAAATCCTAATCGTGCCTTCATTGTCATTGTCGGTTCAAAATTTGTATTTAAAAATAAAAGGCTTTTTTGCTTCTTTCTCCAGTTGAAATTTTTGGGAGGATATGTCAAGTAGGTGGGTATGCATGGATAGGGAAGAGAAACTCGGTTTGAGTAAATCTTTAATTGGTACATCAGTTCAAAGAAAGCATTATGAAATGCTTTGTTCTTGGCACCATGAGTATTAGCAAGATGAGAAGATGATGATGGGACATCAGGACTTTATAGTCTGGACCTAGGGACGTGGTCAAGACCGAACTCTTTCTCCATTCTTCCTTGTTCTTCCCCACCACGCTTGCTCACCACACACATTTCCGCTGCTGCCAAAGACCGAAGCACTTCGTTTTCCTCCAATTACCAACAAGGTCTCAGAAGCATGGGATATTATATTTCATCTCTTCCAAGGCACTGTGGATTTTAGGATGTACCATTAGAGTATTTGTTCATTAAGGGGAAAAATTGCTACGAGTTAAAAGCCTAAGAGACACTGATTTAATTCTGCTTAAAATTTTGTATGCTTATTAACACTCTTTTCGATTTATTCAGACATAGGTGTTGACCATAACCCTCCCGTCCATGTATTTTTTTAAGAGTAAACCAAGTTACAGTTTTCCTGAAACACCTTCTCATGCATTGCCTAGCTTACTGGAATTGCTTTTCTGCTGGGAATAATCCGTGTCTTGCTTTATTTTCCTCACACAAAATGTTGTGAGGCAGACTTTCTTGAACGAGAGGCCTGTGATGAGAGGTCTGTGATGTTCTCAGTTGCTGACACCCATTTTGCAAATTTTGAAGCAAGTTTCCCGGTGACAGCTATGCCACAAGGACTGCTTAATTGATTGGCTGTTCTTGAGTTCCCAGTTGTAAATGTAAAGGAAAAAACTGTCTTAGGATTGATGGGGCATGAATCCGAGATCTGTGTTCATCTTCCCTGTCACTCCACTGGCAGTGGGCCTCTCACCTGGGCTCCTCGCCATTCCTGGCAGTTGGTGGGCTCTAGGCTTGCTCTCCACTACAGAACTCTTCAGGGGGAGACAGGCAGACTCTGCACATCTACAGAAATTAAGGAGGTGACTAAAATAGTAACAACCAGAAGGAACAAATTATCCCCAATCTCGGGTCACTTAGGCTCTGTAATGGTATCTGTGACCTCCAGCTGGGGTCCACACGTGTTCTTACACCCTCGGGGGATGTTGGAAGCCCCTGGAGACGAGGCCCCAGCCCTCTGCTTCCAGTTTGTCCTTTGTCCTCCCTGCCCCCTGGAATTTCTCTAAAAAAAGTGAAGGAGCAAGAGTTTGGAGTCAGAAAACCTGCATTTTTTCTTTTTTTAAAAGATTTTTATTTATTTATTTGACAGAGAGAGATCACAAGCAGTCAGAGAGGCAGGCAGAGAGAGAGGAGGAAGCAGGCTCCCCACCGAGCAGAGAGCCCGATGCGGGGCTCGATCCCAGGACCCTGAGACCAAGACCTGAGCCGAAGGCAGCGGCCCAACCCACTGAGCCACCTAGGCGCCCCGGAAAACCTGCATTTTTAATCTCACCTGTGATTCTGGGCAGATTACTAACCTCAGGGTCACACTTTCCTGGTGGGGATAAATCGTAGTGCTTTCATCAGGTGTTGGTTGTAAGATGTTTTTTTCAAAATGAGATAATGTGAATCTCCCTGGTTGGTGGATTAGATCTCAGTAAATATTGATCATATGTTGTCCCTCTTTGCCATTTTTGAAAAACAGTTTTCCATCAGATTCTGAGGAGAACTATTAAAATTAATGATTGAATAAGAATTTTTTTTTGTAGTACTTACGGTTTTAAGTAATTATATGTTAAAATGTTCCTGTTTCCCAACTTGTGTTGTGAATGAGAAGCTAGTATTTTTTTTTTTTCTCCTAAAGCCAGACTCTGCCTCTACAATAAATATTGCACTCTTCCTGAACATAGGGGGAAATTGGATAATATCTAGAAAAACTTCTAAGGCTCCAAGTTTGGAGAGACTGTACATTTGGAAGAGAAGAGATTGCTTTTGACCTACTCTGCCAGGTTCTTTTCCTTTGTACAGAGTCTGGTTTTTTGTTTTTTTTTTAAAGATCTTATTTATTTGATACAGATCAGAAGTAGGCAGAGCAGCAGGCAGAGAGAGGGGGAAGCAGGCTCCCTGCTGAGCAGAGAGCCTGATGTGGGGCTCTATCCCAGGACCCTGGGATCATGACCTGAGCCAAAGGCAGAGGCTTAACCCACTGAGCCACCCAGGTGCCCCCCTTTGTACAGAGTCTTAAGTATGATTGCTTCTAGGTCTCTTACAGGTGTGAGCTTCAGCCCCTACTCTTGTCTTCATCTGTCCTTTGGAAATCAATGATTTTAAGTATATACTTCCAAATCGAGGGGTCTCAGTTCAAAATTGTAACCCCACCATGCATTCAGGTGTGTTACTGTGGGCAAGTTGCTTATCCTCTATAAGCTTCAGTTTCCTCCTTTGGAACTGGCAGAGTTCTGCATCACAGAAGTGGTGTATGTAAGTGATGTAATGTGTTTGGACCACTTAGTTCAGATTTGTATATTATACATAGAATGTACTCTGGTGGTGCTGACTGTGGTTATTCATAATTCTCTTAAGTCGTTACTGTTATGTTTTTGCTGTTTTGCCAGTGATTTTGATATCTGCCTTTTTTGTTCTTCCTTTGTGTTCCTTAATTTTTCATCCCCCCCCCCACCCTGTATGATTACCCTAAAACAAACCACACCTTAAAATTGAATTTTGATAATTTGCTGCCACCTACAGGCTGATATGGAAAAAAGCAGAACCTGTAATTACTAATGATTGGGAATATAAAATCCCAAGGTTATCTTGAAGTCCTGAAGCCAGGCGTGGACAACTACATGACCCCCTTTTCTGAGACATTTGTTTTCCCTGGGAGCCTAACTAAATACTTGGATAGTAGCAGAATCCCCCGAGATTGTTTCTGGAATTGGGCAGCTGTGCATAAAGCGTTATTAGTAATTAGATACTACATTTTCCCCCTTAAGCAGATTTACAAACTAGTATTTATTAAAAAACATGAAGGAGCCTTTGTTTTTTAAGGTATTGTTTAGCACCAGAGTTTTTTGGGGACTTTTTTTTTTTTTTTTTGAGTCCTGTTCTGGTTGGAGACTGGAGAAGTCTGAACAATACCTTAAAAATAAAGATGTTTCTAATTAACTCTGTTGTGGTTCTTACTGCATTGTCTTATATGATTGCTACCATATACTCCCATCTTCAGTCTCATACAGTCTTGTCACATAATCTGGCACAGGGGATATGTTTGCAAGCACACACGGGCCCTTCTCAGTGATTTCTGACGGTACATACCTTATCCACAGTTTGATTTGGCTGGAGTTGGAGTATGTGGGATCCAATGGCAGTGAGCAGGGGGTAGGTCCAGTAAGGCCTGGGTGCTAAACAATGGGGAATTTTGTCTGGAAAACAACAGGGAACCAACCACGAAAGGATTGTAAGCCGGACAGTGACATGATCAGATTTCTATCACAGAATTCTCTTGGGCAGTCTGAAGATATTTTAGAGGGGGCCTACAGAAGCAATTAGTCGTTGAGCTTTTCCGTCTACGGATTGTACCTGTCACACATGGTCTGTGCATTAAAAAGCTTAATCATATTCTGTTTCCACCTCCAGTTCGTGTTTTTTTTTTTTTTGAATTCTCTTATTTGTATTACTTTTATTCCTTAAAGTATTAAAAAAATTTTTTGGTACCCCCTTATACTTTGCACTCAACATTTGGGGGGCTGCTCATGGACCTGTTGCATGGGTGGCTGGGGAGATGAGAGGGGAGAGTTGTTGAGGATCAAATGCCTCCTTGGCCACTCAGAGAAGTTCTTAAGTTCTTCCTGTAGGACTCCTAGTGGTTGGCTCCATGCCAGGGGAATGGCTGTACCTATAGTATATAAAAATAAAGATATATATATATATATTTTAAAGATTTTATTTATTTATTTGACAGACAGATCACAAGTAGGCAGAGAGGCAGGCAGAAAGAGAGTGGGAAGCAGGCTCACTGCTGAGCAGAGAGCCCGATGTGGAACTTGATCCCAGGACTCTGAGACCATGACCTGAGCCGAAGGCGCCCCTCTTTTTTTTTTTTAGCTACAGGAAGGTGTTTCCTACCTCCACTAACAATGGAAAGAACTGTAATAAACTTTATTTTTAATTTTTTAAAATAAAATTTCTGTAGGTGTTGAGTTTGTTCAGTTCTTGACTAGATTAAGTGCTGGATTTGGTTAGCAGAGGAAGCTAGAGACATTTACAAACCCCTTTCCTTGTTAGTGTGAATTACTAGTCCTGCTGATTTACTAGGTTAGCATTAAAAGCCCTGGCAAGATCCCATTTACAGCCTCCTCTGACTCTTCCGCTTTGTAGTAACTATATTGTGACTGAGCAAAAGAACAGAAGCTACGCCATTGCTGCATTTTCCGAATTCATACTTGGCAGAATATATAATTGGGTAGTTTTTTAGTGGTAGCTCAGACTTTTGTCCTTACAGGAAGAGCCAGGCCATTTGAAGGTACAGAAAGTTGATGTGTGGGTCCAGTCTAATTGTTTTATTCTCGTGGGGGCGGTGGAGGAGCCTAAAGGAGAATTTTACTTTGCGTACCTTACAGACTTTTTTTTTTTTTTTTTTTTTTTAAATCTCCAACCAGGTCTGCTGAGAACAGACCCAGTCCCTGAGGAAGGAGAAGATGTTGCTGCCACGATTGGGGCCACGGAGACTCTATCAGAGGAGGAGCAAGAAGAGCTGAGAAGAGAACTTGCAAAGGTCAAGACACATTCCTTTTGGGACTTTGTGCTTCGCACTCACAACATCATTTGTGTTTCTCAGGCACATGGTAACATCTCCTCCTCTGTTCCAGGGGAGAGAAAGCAACATACAGTAACCTGTCCTAGAGCTCTGGCTTTGGGGAGAGGAAATAAAAGAATGTGATGTTTTCCTATGAATACAGATATCTACTGGGTGAAGTGGGTCTGAGAAGTAGACGGGAAGGAGGACACGGATGGGAAGAGCACTAGTGAACGTGACCTGGGGGGCCGCACCGGGTCTAACGCTCTTGGCTTTTCAGCTGTATCAGTGCCTGTGTTCTCCCCTTTGCTGTGCTGTGGATGTACGTGGGCTCTTCCAACCTTCTTTCCCTCCCTCCCTTTCTCTTTCTCTGTTATTCGTAAAATTAACCATTTGAAAGTGCACAATTCATGACAGTTAGTGCTTTCACAGTCTTTTGCTGCTGTCACCTCTGTGTAGTTTCAAAACGTTTCCATCACACCCACGGGAGACCTGTACTCATTAAACTGGGATCCTCATTCACCCCCCTCCCTCACCCCCTGGCAGCAATAACCTGCTTTATGCCTTGTTTTCTATGGATTTACTTCTTCTGGATATTTTATTTAAGTGCAATCATACACGTTACCTTTTGTATGTGGTGTAATGTTTTTGAGGTTCATTCTTATAGCATGTATTGTGAATTGGTACTTAACTATTTTTTAAAAAGATTTTATTTATTTATTTACTTAGAGAGAGAGAGAGAGAGAGAGACAGCACATGTGTAAACGTGATCTAGGAGAAGGGGCAGAAGGGGGAGGGAGAAGGACAAGCAGACTCTGGGCTGTGTGTGGAGCCTTCGCCAGACTTGATCCCATGACCCTGAGATCATGATTTGAGCCGAAATCAAAAGCTGGATGCTTAACTGACTGAGCCCCCCAGGTGCCCGTGGTGCTTTATTTTGAATGATAGTCCATTATATGTATCTACCACGTTTTGTTTATCTGTGTGTTGATGGAGGTTTGGGTGGTTTCCACATTTTTTCTATTGCAAATACTCAGCTAGGAACATTTGTATAAAAGTACTTGTTTGAATACCTATTTTACCTATAGACCCTTGGGTATATACCTAGAACTGGAATTGTTGCATCAAATGGTAATTCCATGTTTAACTTTTTTGGGGAGCTGTCAAACTATTTCCCACAGCAAGGATGCCATTTTTCATCCCGATCAGCGATTTCTCTACATACTTGCCAATATTTATTATTCTCTGTCTTTCTGATTATGGCCATCCTAGTGAGTGTTAAGTGGTGGTATGTCATTACAGTTTTGATTTGTATTTCCCTAGTGACCAGTGATATTGAGCATTCATGTGCTTATTAGCCATTTGTGTATCTGCTTTGGAGAAATGTCTGTTCAAATCCTTTGCCCAGTTTTTCTTTTAATTGTTTTTGTTGTTGAGATATAAGAGCTCTTTACCTATTCTGGATATTAGACACTTTTATCAGATATATGATTAGCAAATATTCTCTCCTATTCTGTATATTGTTTTTTCACTTTCTTCATAGTGTCTTAATGCACGTAAGTTTTAAATTTTGATGAAATCTAATTTTTCTTGAGTTGGTGGTGCTCTTGGTGTTATATCTAAGAATCCCATTTTCAAAGCTCAGAGCATGAAGATTTACCCTTATGTTTTCTTCTAAGATTTTTAGCTCCTATATTTAAGCCTTTGATCTGTTCAAGTTAATTTTTGTTTGTGGTTTATGGAAGACGTCCAGCTTCTTTCTTTTGCATGTGAATATTTAGTTTCCCCAGTGCGCTTTGTTGAAGATACTATCCTGAATGAATGCTCTTGGCATCCTTGTGAAAAATCAGTTGCCATCGATGTCAGGGTCTATTTCTGGACTTCGGTTCTATTACATTCATCTCTGTGTTTATCCTTTTGAGAGTACCACACCATTTTGATTATTATAGCTTTGTGGTGAGTTTTGAAATTGGGGAGTAGGAGTTCTTTACCTTTTTCTTATTTCTCTAAATTGTTATTTAGGGTCCTTTGCAATTTCTTATGAATTTTGGAATCTACTTTTCTACCCACGAAATGTGCCCTTGGGATTTAGATAGGGCTTTTATTGAATCTGTAGATTGATCTAGGGGCGTATTGGCCTCTAAGCAATATGGAGTCTTCTAGTCACTGAACATGGAATATCTTTCCATTTATTTAAGATGTCTTTAATTTTCCTTTTAGCTGTGTTTTGTTGTTTTCAGTGTACATTTCCTTACATTTATTCCTAAGTGTTTTGTCCATATGTTATGGATACTAGATACTTATCAAATATATTCTTTGTGCCATAAGGGTCATTTTTTAATATATTTTTTTTTTCATTTTTAAAATATGTGTATTTTGTATATATAGTATGTAATATATACATTGACTTAAGGAATGGTAGCTGTGATGTGCTGAGCTAGGTATGTTGGCAGCACAGTCTAACAAAAGTGGGGAATGCACTGGGCCATGTTTTGTTCAGTAAGATTGACAGTGGTCTTTCTCTCCAGCTGTCATTAGGGAAAGGGAAACTTCAGAGGAGTGTTAAGGGGTATTTATCTTTTAAGTCTGTTCTTTGGAGTATCTGATAAGTTGGAGTTGGGATAGAGGAAAGAGGTAGTGGAAAGCTAACAGTGTGCAGTGAGAATTAGCCAGTAAACTGAGAAGTGGAGCCCAAAAACCTGGGTTGAAATTCTGGTTCCTACATTGTTAGTTTGATGACTTAGGCAACTCATTTAACTTACTTGATTTTGAACCTCATGCATTCATTGTTGCCTTTTTCTTTCAGAGTCCACTTAAGTGTGACTTCCAAAACTGTTACAGGATGAGAGGTCCTGTCTGATAAGCACAGAGGGTCATCTTCATTCTGGACCTACATTCTAATTATTGCCCTCTTAAGAACTCCCTCTGGGGAGCTTGGGTGGCTCAGTTGGTTTAGCTTCTGCCTTTGGCTTATGTCATGATCCTGGTCCTGGGATTGAGCCCCGAATCAGGCCCTGGGTCAGGCTGCACATCCCGTGCTTAGCTGGGAGCCTGCTTCTCCCTCTCCCTCTGCCGCTCCCCCCAGCTTGTGCACACACACTCTCTCAAATAAATAAAAATAAAATCTTAAAAAAAAGAACTATGTTTTGTTTTGCTCGCCACTTCACTTTTGATTTATTCTTCTCTCCTTTCTTGAGTAGTATTTTTATGTTGTGTTCTGTAAAGATTTAATCAGTGAAAACAGTTTATTTAACAATGCTGTATTTTTTTTATTCATTTTTTTTTTTAATTATTTATTCGGGGAGGGAAAGAGCAGAGGGAGAGGGACAAGCAAACTCTTGTCAATGTGGGGCTCTATATAAGGACTCTGAGATCATGCATGACCTGAGCTGAAACCAAGAGTTGGACACTTAACTGACTGAGCCACCCAGTTGCCCCCATCGTATATTGATTTCAAAGGCCATGCTGTCTTTGGAATCATAGAAGTGTGAGGTTGAGGCTGAGAATATGGCTTTGCAACAAGTCACAAGAAGCATCTTTTGAAGGGTCTTGAATATTAACGACCATCCCACCCTTTTCAGCTTCCTGGGACAGAAGGTCTCTTCCGAGTGAGGTCTCTTCTCCTTGTGGGTCTGCCTCTTGCCCTCTGTTTTTCTGACTCAGGCTTTTCTTCTGCTCCTTAAGTCTTTTTCTGTTCTTCCTAGCTTCTGCATAGAGTTTTGGCCTCCTCATATATTTAAGCTTCCGTATCTCCTCATCTCACTGTGCCCTGCCTGTACTTCAGGGTTTCTTTATCCAAGTCTTTTCAGCTTCTACTTCAGTATTAGCTCAGTTTCTCAAACTGGATTCCTGAATGAGAGAGCCCGTGATTATGGAGCATCTCTTACAGCAGGCCCATCACTAGGTGGTGGCCGCTCATTGGGTTGGCTGTCCTTGGGTCAGGGGCCTTCCTCTAACTGTGCAGCTAATTAAGCCTGGTCAGTCAGCATCAAGGAGTCCACACGGGACTTCTGGGGGGCTCTCTGGCTTGATTTACTTACAGCTGTGGCTTTGGCAGGCCCTGGGATAGTCATTTCCAGTATAAACTCATACAAAATGTACAGGAAGGTTGGATTTCAATTTGACTTGGCTATGGATATTTGAGTGGAGAGTGGTTTGATTTGGTACACACATACGAATTTTGTGGGCATTCAAGTGGAAGTGTCCAGCTGGAAATACAGACCAGGGGTCAGAGAGTGGATGGCAGAATAATTTGATTATTGTCTGTGTGGAGGTTTGAGCCCTAAGCTTCCATGAGATAGCAGAGTAAGGAAGTATAGAGAGAGAGAGAGGAGAAGCCTAAGGACAACTCAAGATAGAAATACAAAGAAGAGAAAAGAGGGGTATCTGGGGGGCTCGGTTTGTTAAGCGTCTGACTCTTGATTTTGGCTCAGGTTGTGATCTCAGGGTCGTCAGATGGAATCCGTCGTCAGGCTTCACACTGGGTATTGAGCCTGCTTGAGAGTCTCTCTCTCCTTCTGCCCCCTCTCCCTACCCCCACTTGTGTGCTCTCTCTCTCTCTCTCTCTCAAAAAAAAAAAAAAGAGGGGCGCCTGGGTGGCTCAGTGGGTTAAGCCGCTGCCTTCGGCTCAGG